ACCAGACATCAATCAGCCAACAGGCTAGTTAGTTTCGAGCGACACAAGGGTATTTATTATTGCTCAATCAGTGGCCCAGTAGTCCAGTAGTCCGGTTTGCGAGACTGACGACGGGACGTGACATTCCATCATTTTGGTTATTCAACTAGCAGTCCAGGTCCAGGTGGCTTGTAATTCTCGATTCGCGCTCTATGGCTCCAATGTTGTTATCTGCATCTCTAGTTTCAAGCGGCCAGCAGTAGTTGGCATAACCACTAATTAATACCCATGGTTCACCTACAACTCATATTGCAGTCAGTCTTGAAACGTATCATGTTGTGATAATTCATACAGATGCCTCGCGTCATTGCTAGCAATCAGTGACTAAAGAAGGTGGCATGTTTGGTTGTTCACTCCGTGTTTTTTTCTTCTTTTACTCCCGTGTAACAATATGTTTGTTTGTCCAAGGTTCCAGCCCAACTCCGCAACACTGATAATTAATTGTTCTGGGAGTATATTCAGGCGCACTTTGAAAGCCCAAGGCAGGTTTCCAATATCATATACATGTCGCCATCCAACGCGCCATGTCGTACACAATCAGGGAAAGGGGAGAAAGACCCATCGTTCTCGCACATAATCTGCCAACTTCAAAAATCGGTAAACATGTGTCCGTATCTACGCACAGAGTTAGCCTCCAATACTTCACAAGCAAATGTGTTCCAAGTACATACTCATCTGACCCTCCAATGCCTCCATACTTCTCAGGGTCCTCGGGATATCTGTCAAACTGGCTTGCGTCGCCCGTACCGGCCTTCACTGGCGGCGTATATGGGGCATCAATGTCCTTGCGGGCCAGTCTATCCCACGTCACCTCCGAGAACCATGGATGGTTCTTGACATCTTGTGAACCGCCATATAAGTTACCCAGTCTCTTGGTGAGGTCGGATGTGATTAACCTCTCCAGCAAATTTTGCGCATCCGTGTTGATGTATGCAGGGTACTTGACCTTACCCTTCAGGATATTTTCGTATATACGCATCGGCGAGCCGCTGTCCCAGAACGGCGTATAGCCACACAGCATTTCGTAGATCAAAATGCCCAATGACCACCTGCGAGAGACATTAGCTGGACAGCTCATATTGCACCACCCAGAAATGTGGCAGCGGTCAAACCTACCAATCCACACTTTTGTTGTAACCCTTGTTAGAGACTACCTCGGGCGCGAGATAATCTGGCGTACCGCACAAAGTCCAAGTCTTGTCTGGAACCCGTTTGGCAAACCCAAAATCCGTGATTTTGAGGTGCCCATGCCGATCCAGTAGCAAGTTCTCGGGCTTTAGATCTCGATATATAATATTCTTCGAGTGGAGGTATTCGAGGGCAAGAGTCGCTTCGGCAGCATAGAACTTGGCAACAGGGTTGGGAAAACGCTTATGGTCGGTCAGTACACAACAACACATGATGCCGGCGTTTCTGAATTGGTCCACCCCCAACAATCAATTGGTACTCACACCGGATTTCCTTAGCAGTGAGAATAGCTCTCCGCCCTCAACAAAATCCATTACCATGTACAGATTCTTCCAGTCTTGAAAAGTGCCCCAGAGGGTAATCAAGAATGGATGTTTGACATCGCTCAACATCCTCCGTTCATCATTGGTGTGCTCAACCTGCTTCATCTTGACAACTTGAGCCTTCTTGAGCACCTTGATGGCGTAGAATCGTTGGTTATGCTTCGATTGGACCAGATGGACTCGTCCGAAGCTACCAGTCCCGAGCGTCCTCAGTATGTCGAAGTCGCCCAACGAATATTTTCCCTTTGTGACGCGGGTGACGCTTCCCTGGTGCTGGTGGTGGACACGCTGCTCATGCTGCTGCTGTTGATATTGTTGCTGCTGCTGATCCGGCAAGTGTCCAGCTTGTTGCTGTGGTTGCATTGCCGGCTGTGGATAAGCCTGTTGCTGCTGTTGTTGCATGTGGCCGGGATCGGTTCCGGGACTTGCACTGGGAGGATGGCTGATCTGGGCGCCTAGGGCAGCAGGGTTGAAGGAAGAGTAGTTGTTTGTAGAGGCACCATTCTGGGGTTGGTGGATGAGGTTATTGATGCTAGGAAGGCTCTGGGAATCGGCTTGGTTCGTTTGCATGGGCAATGGAGTGACGAAGGTGCCGCCTTGGGCGTTTGCGGGATTCATCTGTTGCTGCTGGGAAGCAGGCGCAGCAGTGGCAGCTGAGCCTTGAGATGGAGCTGGAGCAGTTCCAGGAGCCGTCTTTGCTTGCGAGCCAGAGGTTCGCTGCTGCAGTGTAGAAGAATCGAACGGCTTCGACGGAGATGTAGCAGCAACTGGGCTGGTGGGGGTGGAGGTAGAGGGGTCGGGGTTGCTATCCCGCGTCCTCTTTTTCTTGAGAAAGCCGAGAGAAGGCATAGGGCAGGTGGTAGTACCGTGGTACTGCTGCTGCTGCTGCTGCTTCACACGTGGCGACGCCGATGACAGGCGATAGAGTCTCTTTGGTCGGGCGGAGAGGTGACAGGTGACAGCGGCAAGCGACTGGCAAGCGACAGGGTGGAAGTCGGCTACGCAGGAGCAACAAGGGAAATCGCGCCGCAAGGTGGATGTTTGGGTCCGTCGCAGGAGCAAGTAAGTTAAGTGGCCGGGTCTTTGAACGTCTGGACGTGAGAATTGGTCGATGGTTGGATGGAAGATGCGGAGCAGCGGCGGTGGGGGAAGCAACTCGATGGACCAGAACCATGGACTTGCTTGCAATTACAGTTTCTTCAAGAGTATTGCTCGTCGTCCAAGGCCAGCACAGAGTTCAGCAAGCACCGCCCAGGCCAGGTCTCTCAATTGCGCAAGCGAGCGGGCAGCGGGTTGTTGGCTGTGGAGGGTGGGAATGGAATTGGATCGGATGCGGATGCAGATGCGGAACGATCAAGGACAGCCGGCTGGGAGGAGGAGCTTCCATGTCGACTTGAATTGAGGAGAAGCCACACGCACGCAGAAGCAGCCAACCAGCTCCAGGGCCCTCCATGTCAGCTCAGCTCCATGTCGGCATGAACCCACGCTTGCAGATGGTTCTTTGCCCCTCCTTTGGCGTCGCTGGTACGGAGTAGTAACATCAATGATTGAATTACTCGTCGCCTGGCATGCAACATCGATGCTGGCCTTCAATCTTCGGTTTGACCAGCAACACCAGCTGTGCCCCAGGTCCGTCAACTAACAAGTTTCTGGCCATAAATAGATCCAGGAACAGCATTTTCGAGCTGCAAGCGAAACAAGGAGACGCACTGGCCAATTGTCTCGTTGATGATTGTGCTTTCTTTAGCACGACGCCGGGCACGCATACGCCGCAACAAGGGGGCAACAACCGACGTCAGGGAGGCTCAGAGAAGCCACTCCCAGAAGCCACTCACAGCTTGCTCGAGACGCCGAACAATGCAAAACTGACACGGACCACGAGTTTGCACAAATAGCGTTGCAGCCTAGTAATTGCCAGACCAAGAGCTACACTGGGAGGCAAAAAGCATTCGAGTACATCACGGCCTCTGAGAGCAATTCAAGCTACAGGTTCCTTTCTCCTTCGGAAAGTTCTACTTTTCTGATTGCCAATTTCTTTACGACGCTTGAATGGAGCAATGCATCATACATCCGTCTTGTCAATCTTCTCGACACTTATTTCGAGGTGGTACCACTACTTTCGCCTCAAAGTCGCAACCAGTGGATCTTGGTTGTTGATCAAGGGCCAAAACTGTCCTGGTCACCAGCGTCTCCGCGATGAAGAGCTGTGTGCGATGAGCAACTGATTGAACTGCATGACAAAGGACCCTGTTAAGTCGGGATGAAAAAAAATGACCTGGCAGTTCTGCAGATGGGCACGGGCCGACTGACACCAGATCGATTTCGATCGCTCTTCGTTGGCCTACCGGGGAGGGATGAGGAGAAGACAGGAATGGCGGCAGCAGGAAAGGTTTACCAGCCATTCCTCAAAAGGCTACTCTGTAACTACAGCTTAGCTCAGTTACCTTGGCATGTCCTCCTCATACCGCCGACTTGGCGACGCAAGTCAGTCATTTAAGGCAAAAATATTATGGATGCGGCAGTCAAATCATTCGGCTTGGATAATGGGCAATGCACTCAACTACCAGCCCTGCGCACAGGAAACCCCTTGAACGACTTGTCAATGACCATAGCAACTTTTTTTTCATGTGAAATACGAATTGAGCTGTATTCGGTTTCTTCTCACTCGTAGGACGATATGATGATTGACAGTTCGCCCTTGCCTTGGTACGTACCTTCCTGAGCAGCGGGACGAGGTGGCCCACTTTCCTACTACAACCGGCGATCTTTGACGACAATATCAAGTGGCAGATGGAAGACCATGGCAAGATACCCTGCAACATCACGTACCCCAGATATAATGGGATCGTCCCTTAAAATTTTACATCTGATTACTCAATTATCCAACCAATGAGCGCAACCAATCCGTGACATGCAACCTCAGGGAGCCTGATTTGTATCCACGCCGCATTTCACACCAAGCCAGCTGGCAAGCTTCAAGCTTCAAGCTTCCCGCCGCGTCCGCATTAGGGCAGCGCCATGAACCTACTTCACACAGCCACCCCAGACCGAGCACTTGTTCCAACAGCTACATCTAACTCGACGGTAAGACGAAAATTAAGTCCAGTACTAGTCACATCCGAGAACACAAAAGGCAAAATGTGGACAATGGAACTGCTCTTCAAACTCCAGCCCGTAGGTCCTACCAATCGCTCTTACACAACTATTTAACAAAAAAGCCTTCATCGGCTCTTTCTCAGATGAAGCAGCAACCAACCACAAAGGAAATTAAATTGCCAGCCCATGCAAGTGATATTATATTCTCTCTTTTTTTTAATAGCCCGTCTCAAACTTCATCATGTCCATAAAAAAAGGAACACCCTTTCCCGTCCAGAGCCCATCCACCCAAGTTTTCTGCGCCCATTACAGTCATCTGGAAAAGGAGAGCCGACACGACATTGCCCAAATGCTTTAGAATCGGTGGCTCTTGCTCTTGGCTCGGTAAGCAGTGTAGCCCACGTACACACCACCAACAGCAACGAAGAATAGGATGATCTTGGTGAAGAACCAGGTCCAGCTACTGCCTTCCTTGACAACATTACTTTGGATGGGTCGGCCCTTGTTCGCTCCTGCTTGGTTAGTCGTGCTGCCAGGGCTGTTGTACAGGTTCTTGGTGGAGACGGAGATGATGTCGTGGTTATCGCTGAGCTCGCCGGTTTCCGCGCTGAATCCGAGGTAGGCGATGTTGGGGATCTGAGGAGGGTTGTCTACTTCGAAGCAGGACGTCCACTCGTCTTCCTCCCTGTACTGGAGGTCAAGCTTGAGCTGCTTGTCCTGGATGTAAGTGAGACGCATCTTGGTAGGTACGCTGGCATGTCGGATGCCGCGAGCTGAGCAGCCGGCCAGCTCGGTCTCCTTGCCGTCGTCGTTCTTGTTGTAGGAGCGCTGGCCGTCGCCATACATGGCCATGACGTAGGGGAACACAACGCCGGGCCGGTTATTCTTGTAGGTGTCGACAAAGATTCCCAGGCCCTCAAATCGATCAACCGATCCGAAGACAGGGCCCATCTGGCCGCGCTGCTTGGTGATCCACATAGCAAAGCCATCGCCATAGAGTTGGTGCTTCCCCGAGATTTTGAATTCAACTTCGACCTCCCAATTCGTGGCGGTTAGAGGCACACGGGAGAACAGCCAGCCGGATTGCGAGGGAAGATCTGAGGTCAAGCGAATATAACTATTCATGCCGTTTAGTTTCGGTTCTTTTTTGCCACCTTCTAAAAATTCTTCTGCAAAATTGAGGCAACATACGAATCGGTTCGGACAATGGTATCTCCTCCAAAATCGAACCAACGGCTCTGCATATCTGAGTCGAGGTAGGGCTGTGAACAAATGCTCTTCGTCAGTTTCGCGCTTCGTATATTGGACATGTGGACTATTCCCCCTCCAGATTCCCCTGGTATCGTGAACTGACCTGCTGGATGCTATGTGTTCGTAGCTGCGAAGTCCCAATTGCGTCAGTCCTAATTCTCGATTGGCACAAAAATTATCTTCTATACACACCGAAATGCTCTTCAGGTCAGACGCGTGGTCTGCCTGCGCAGTCCCTACAATGGCCGCCAGGAGGGCAGCTGGGACTGATGACAACCGCATGGTGTGGCGTGCCTCAAAGCGAGAGACGACTCGTCAATCAAAGACCACAAAAGAATTAAAAGCACGGGAATCAAAATAAAGGATCGCACAGCCGTCGAGGAATCGTCCAACTCAAGGCGTCGGGTATCTGGTCTCCCTCGACCGGTTTGCTTGGGAGGCTATGTGGTGAGAGTTGGCCAATATTGGGACCCAGAGCTGGCACACAGCTGTCCTCTTCCAAACGGGGCCAAAAAGACAACCTGGGGTTCGGCCCAGCCTTAACGTGTGACGATTATGACAGCCTTGGCCCCTGCTCGACTGCGCCACAGCTATCCGCCGAGATGGCCGCGGAGTACTCCGTAGGGAGTACGGATAGAGTGGTCTTTAAAGTAGTGTGGCTGAGGGGTCACTGAATTAGCCACTCGTTCTAGCTTTTCAGATCTTTTGAGCCAGCTGGGTTGCGACAAGGTGCTCTAAGCTCTCCTCGAGATAGTCACCATTCACGCACCCGCATCGCACCGCATCGGTATATCTGACTCGGCACACAGCACAGGCCTGATACCAAGAATGGATTCAAGCACAGTAAAGCAGTCTGTTATGAAGCAGGTCCTCGCTGAGGCGAACCTGGCCAATGCCCGAGTCCTTATTGAGGTATGCGGAAGAGTGTAGCAGCACGAGACACTTGCCCTTGTTCCTCGTCTGCTAGCATGCATTGGCTAACTTGACTTGTCTCTAGAAACTCCAAGAGAACTGCTTCGAGAAGTGCATCCCCAAACCAGGCAGCTCACTGTCCAGCGGCGAGCAAACCTGCATGACAACGTGCATGGAGAAGTACATGGCTGCGTGGAACCAAGTCAACGCCGCATACATCAACAGAATACGCCAGGAGCAAAACAACCCTAGCCAATAAGCGTGCCACTCAATTCATCGGTCGAGACGAGTATCAGCGATTACGGAAAACTGTATATTATGCCATCGTTTCTATGGAATGGGAGGTACTCGCTGGGTCAACCATCTAGCCCAACATATATCCGGAAGGGACGGTTTTTTTGTATAATCAAAAGTGAATGGACACATGGGGGACAAGGTATAAACAATAGAACAAAGTAGTCTCTGTAGAGACTAAACACACGATTCTCACCGCCATTGTACAACAGTCACCATGGCCAGAGAAATGGCTCTCATGATTATATTATATTGCTGGGTATCTCACATCTATCCCTCTGATGCCTGCTTTTTCGCTTCCTCAGCCGCCCGCTTTCTAGCAAGATATCTCTCCTTTGCACTTGAAATCTCGCTTTGCGTCTTTTGGCTCTTTGACGCGCGTTCAATTTCTTCGCGCTGCGATTCTTCAGCTTCCCTCGATCGCTTGAGAGACTGCTCCAGCTGCTCTTCCATCATGCGAGTCTGGCGCTCCCTCATGGCTTGTTTCCTTCCCAACTGAGCCCCATTTGTAGGTCTTCTTTCCGGCTCTTTGGGCCGTTCAGCTTCCCTCCGAGCCTCCTCCTTCTTCTTGGCGGCCACGTTCAAGCCCCCCCTCAGGAGTTGCCGCTTGTCGACGACTTGGCCGTCCTCGTTGACGGCGACAGATGCGCCCTTTTCGTTTAGCTCGCGGGCTAAATCGGCCTCGGCCTTCTCCCTATCGGCCTCCTCTTCATCGTCTTGATCCGTTGCAGGTCCATCCCTCGCCTTTTCTGCTGCCGCCTTGACAAGTTCTGTGTGTCTCGCCTCGTCTTTGTCAAGAAGCTTCCTGTAAAAAGCCGACATGCCGCCGCCTTCATTTTTCCTGGCCTCTTCTTCCTCTCTGCGCTTCTCTTCTTCCTCTAACCTCCTATTCTCCTCCTGTTGCTTCCGATATGCTTCCGTCACAAATTTTTCCTTGTCGGCGTACTCATCTCCCTCGGCTTCCCGCTCTCTAGCAATCTTCTTCTCTTCCGCAATCAACGCATCTCGTTTCCGGACTTCAGCAGCTTGAAGAAGACTCTTCATATACTTTGGTTTTCGTTCCACGTCTTGCTTCGCATCGTCCTTCTTTGGTTTTAATGAATCGTACACGGAATCGTATTCGTAGATGCTTGAGTCGAGTTCTGTTGCTGCTTCCGCGTTCCTTCGCGAAGATAGAGTGCCTGAAAGGTCGCCAAACATGGCACTCGGCTCATTTTTTGATTTTAGCTTTGGAGGCTGTGTCAATGCGCCAGGCTTTTGTTTTGAACTCTTGCGCGTGTCTGATTTTGGCGCTTTCGTTGTAAAGTCGTCTAGAACGCCGTCAATCCGTTCAAATTTGGCAGCGCTATTATGTTCTTCATTGTCGGAACCATCGTCGCCTCCGAACGCGGACTTCTTGCCAAACGGTGTCGGTTTTGGTTTTGGTTTTGCTGCGCCTGGCTTCTTGGATAGACTGAGCCCAAAGGCTAGCGGCTTGCTCATATTGAGGGTTCCCGCTGTTCTGGAGGTTGTAATCCACTCTTTGGGGTTGAAGATTGTCGATGTGAAGGGTTCTGGAAGACATGGGCGATGTAGTAGTACACATGCCGATGATGTAAAGTGGGCATTGCTCAGCCTAGGAGCAGGAGGCACTATCGCCACCGCCTTCCATGTAAGGTCGAAGTCCAGGGTTAGGGTAATATGGCCTACGAGCTCGAGTCTTTCCCTCCAGTACCCGGCCTAATTAAATAGAACGAACTGGCAGTCTATCAAAACGTATTTGCCTATTGATAAATATATATACATGGTGTATTCTTATTTTCGTTCGGGCCGTTCCGCGAAATTAAAGGCCGATGGGAAGTTGCCCATGTTCAGTGAGTGGCGCCGTCACCCGTTGAACGCACTAATTACAGAATATTCTACTATACAATCTTTAATTAGGATCCCGGCAAGAATAAACAAATACATAGATAGTCCTAATGAGGCGTAGCGTTTCTCGCTTATAGTTGTTTTTGCATCACTGTTCTGAGAACTAGTCTCCCTCAAAAGCTGTTGGTTAAGTGCCGACAAACAGCAACTCGCTAGGGTAGCAATTCGTAGACTCGGCAAAAATACAGCAGCGAATGTATCCTGATCATTTCCACCTGATTTTCATCGTTTACCAGACTCAAGCCCAAAAGGACCCCTTTTGAAATGATGTCTTGGTATGCGCACGGAGTAGAGCGCACATGAATGTAGCACCCAAATCCAAGCGACCATCTCCGCCAGCATATCAGCCTTGGAAATGGATGGCCAAATCATGACGTGATTGGGTCACAAGGCCTTCCAAGTTCCAACTGCGTCAACAACCGAACAGCCCGTCGTCGCAAACTCACACGACAACCATGATTCCTTCGCTCCCAGCCATCATGGAGTCTTGCGCAACCTGCGCAACAATCCTCCGGTTACAGGGTACGCCGACGTCAGCAAAGATGCCCGACGATCGGATAGTATCGTGCTGTGGAAGAGTGATATGCGGCAGCTGTATCCAGGTCAGACATGTATTGATACTTTCGCCACAGCCGTGCACCTGCTTCACGCACTGACTTGCACACTTGTAGAAGAACCCGAGGTTCTCTCAATACTGCCCGTACTGCCAGATATCCAGTACACCTTCTCCTCTGCCCCAAGGACTCAAGGATCCACCGTCTTATGCGCTGGTCTCGCAGTCACGAACCATGGATAGCGGACCACCACCCTACACACTCGTGGACGCGAAACCTCAGCCGAAAAGGAATGAGGGCGCAAGTGCGGGAGTGGACGAGAAGAGCACCGCTGATGATACTCTCCATTTTCTGAACCACAACCACGACAGCATCACATCATTGTCGTTTCGATATGGCGTTCCTGCAGCCGCATTGCGGCGGGCAAACAACATCACGAGTGATTATCTTCTACAAGGTAGAAAAACAATATTAATCCCAGGGGAATACTACAAAGGCGGCGTTAGTCTCTCGCCCACGCCAATCGATGGAGAAGATGAAGAGTTGAGAAAGAGCAAGATACGGCGATTTATGACGTCCTGCAAAGTCTCTGATTACAACATTGCCCAGCTCTATCTTGACAAGTCAGGCTATGATTTTGGCGCTTCAGTACAAGCGTACTTTGATGACGAGGCATGGGAAAGGGAGCAGGCGAGCAATGGGGCCAACAAAGCGATGACGAGGACGAAGAACCTCGGCTTCTTCTGGCGAAGATAACCTGGTGTATCCTCGAGCTTCTCCTTCTGTACAAACAGAAACTGGGTATTAAATTCATCTTTCATTCATCGTGCCGAAAGGCGCCGTTCACCATGCCCGAGTCTGTCTATGAGACTTTTAACAATGTACTCTAACGCCCCTGCCGCCCCATCTCCCAGCTAAATAGCATGTTATAGGATATATAGTACAATACATCAATTGGTATCTTTCCAATAGAAAGGGTTCATATATATTAGAAAGCAGACCTAGTGCGGATATCCTGGAATGATTGTCAGTTTACATCTTGAACATGAGTGGGCGGCGAGAGCAACTTGGGTTTACTTACCGAGATTTTCCTTTCAATCTCTCGGACCGAACGGTCCAATTCGCCAGCAATCATTTGCTTCTTATCGTTGGGAAGCAAAGTATATCGCTCACAGAGATCTCCATCAATTATGCCCTTCACAGGCGCATAGTATGATCGGTACATAAGATGATCTCTTCCAGCTAATGGAGGATCCTCAGTCCGGAGATGTGATTCAAGACTCTGGAAAAAGTCTGCGTCTTCTCGACTTATTAGCGGAATGAAAACACCAATGGTGCCCATAAGGCCGCTCCATAATAGCACATCCTGTCCGCCAACCACCAGACTGGTCTTTGCCATGCTAGTAGGTATATCCTGAGTGTAAAAGTGGCACATCAAATCAAGACGCTGGGAGGTTCCATGGAGGTAGTCCCTAGCATTCATTAAATGGAGACCAGATTGTTCTTCATCAGCCTCTTCACTTGCTTTTGGTGGACAACGAACGATAAACATGTTTCCGAATTTGTCTCCGCCGGCCACTGACTCGTAGTCCACCATTGTTGTGCACGTGGTCCACCTGGCAATGGTATCGTCTGCGAAAGGTATGAGCTTGTTCGTAGTAGGCTTATATGTGACGTATGTGACACCTTGTTGGATATCACCAACGATAATGCGGCTGCCTTGGGTGTTTAGGGATACGATTTGCTGAGGTGCTACCTCCGCTTGTGCTTTCCGCAGCATTTGCCGCATACCAAGATCGTATACTCGCAAAGTTTTTCCGACACCAGCCAGGAGTTTCCCTTGGAACGGGATTAATGCCAAAGCGGGTTCTTCGATCTTCGTTTTGTGAATAAACTCAAGCTCTCTCCCTTCTTCCTGGAAACGATACACGTAAATGTATGCTTCTGAAAAGTTCCGTGGATTTACCACGACATCTTTACCAGTGCCAACAATGAGAAAACTTTCATTATCTTGACTAGCAAAGGGAACAATAGCAGCGCTTACGGCTGCCTCGTTATTTTCTAAATCAACCGTCTGCACAACTTGCGGCTCTTCGGAGACAGGGTCGATCACGTTGATGCATGATGCCCATCGACGATTGCCTTTAGGATACCCAAAGTCCTCGGGTGGCAAAACTGTTGCATCGCCATTTACGACGGCTGGATCAGCCATAAGCTGCGCCCGAAGATCAGGCGGAAGTGTATTATTATCACTCTCAATAGTGTAAAACAGAGGCTGCTCTGGATGTTTGATGAGTTTTTTAGGAGTGTAGGTCAGAGATACAGCCTTCTGAGTCAAAGTATCACCTAACCGGTCAATAGAGAAGATCCTAAGTGCCGTTAGCATCCAAATCCATAGAACAACAAAATGGTGTGTAGGCTGGTAACAGGAGCGCCATTTCAGTAGGAACAATTGGAAAAAAAATGCGTATTATAGGCCTCATAGCTCAAAGCATAGGATCCCAAAGTTTCATCATATTGGCTTAGCAGGTAAAGGGGGCAACAGGGATGGCGTATCTTACCTCAGTGACTGGCCTTGAATGCCGACGACACCTTCCTCGCACTGCTCGCTGCTAAAGTTCCAGCCCCATTCGAGATCTACGTAGTTGAGCGGGGTGACGACGAACCCCTTGGTAATTGGATCGGAGTATCCAAGCCAAGGCCGGGAGCTGAGACCCAAGACACAAGTAGTTCCCTGTACGGTAACTTGGAAAAGCCGGACTTGTTTTGGCCCCAAGAACTTTTGTCTTGTGTCTGTCAGTTCACCAGTGACCTCGTCGAGAACCGTTCGTAGATAAACACCAGAATGCAGGCCGATATGAAGATAAAGTGTAGAGCCTCCTGATGACGAGTCATCCATCGCAATAATAGCCAACGATGACGGCGCAGCTGTTAATGCTTGGACTGACTTGCTTTCGAGTGTCGACTCAGGATCAAGACTGAGAATACGAACTGTACAATCATCACAGCCCACGGCCAGGAATGAGCTGCGAACTCTGCCTTCTGGTACTTCGCCCAGGCTCAGACAGGTAACAGTGCCAAACATCTCCTTCTTCTCGTCGTACTCTGCAAGAGAGCCATCAGAATCCATCTCAAAATACACTATTTCACCCGAGCTTAGGGCAATGGCCACTTGGTGGGCATTTGTAGAAGCTGCCACAATAGACCGATGTTGCGGGGCATCCCACTCGTTGACCTTGCCATTGCGAATATGTCGAATGCCCTTTGGATGAACCTGAATAAGGCCATCATCCCCTAATAATTGTGCGGCTAGCGTGGGAACGCTCGTCGAGAAACCAGAATCGCTGACTTCCTCTACTGTCTCGCCAATACTGAGCACCAAAGTTCCATTTGTAAATGACAAGACGATATAAGCATCGTACTGTTCACCTCGGTTTAGTTTGAGGGTCCACACTGCAGAGGGTATGCCAGGTAATTCCGAGGCCACGATTTCATTGACTTCCAGGCCATGTCTGAGCATTCTAAACGTGCTTCGTGCTCCATTTCCACAGACAGTGTAGATTTGGGGTGCGTCTTCCCCTGTCAAGTTCGCAACTTGACAGTCAAGTAACGGATTCATTGATGGAATACTCTCGACCAAGGCCAGGTTTTCAGCAGGTCGAGGATGGAAATAGACCGGATCGTACGATGCTTGCGGGTCAACTGGGAAGTCATCGCTGCTGAACTCAAGCTCCGCATCATCGTCGCCGAGTTTCTCAAACTGATAGAAAGAAAAGTTGCCAAACTGACTGGCAATATAGAGAAACCCACTCTTTAGAATGCAGAGACTTGTGGCGACTGGTACGGTATCAAAGTACTTGATCTTAAGCCTTTTCACTTCACCAGTCGGGCTCCCTTCTTCATCCTCAACCATGTCGATAGTCACTTTAAACAGATCGCCATCCTCAGTTTGCAATAGGAAGAAAAACGCGCCGGCACTGCCCTTTAACTTGTGCATCACACCAGAGACGATTGTGCGTTTTCGTGACGGGTCCTCGGTGGCTCCCTTTCTTCGCGGTATCGGCACACGGAACGCGTCCTGGTTTGAGTGCCTATATGTAATGCTCTCCTCGCCACAGACTAGCACTCCGCTGGGGCCGTCGTTACCACCGGGAACCTGAAAAAGAAGGGAGGCAGTAGGATCGACAGGTTCCGACCATTTTCTCACAACGTGATTGAGACCCAGATCTAGCTCGTAGTAAACAAGCTGCGTTTCGACTTCCTCCAGCGCCTGGCCACTGGAGTCTTGATCGACCTCAGAGTAGTCCATTTCGAGGGCCGCAAAAACAGGATTGGCATATCCAACATCCAAGGCAACCATGGAAATAACCAACACACCAGGTTTGTGAGCTTCCAAAGGCGAGGAGATTGTTAGCTCTGCCTGTGCACTTCGGTTCAGAACATATACTAGCTTGTTCTTCTCGGTGGAAGCAATGAGACAAGCTCGACCCTTAGGGTCGCACGCAAGATATTCTCCTGGAATCACTCGCCTGACACCAGATTTGCCAAAAGTCTCAAGGTGCAGTCTACTGAACCGATTTTGGGCTGGCAAGTACTCGACGACCGTGATTCTGCCAGAATCCGAGGCAATGATCAAATAATCTAATGAAATTGGATTTTAGCGGCTCGTTATTTTAAAGAGGAGGAAGTTCTCGAAGGGCGAATGCCAATTGGGTATCAAGGCTGGTAATCCCGCATGCAATTTGGCAGACAAACCAAGCGGTGACAGGTTTCAAGACATACCTTTGTTACTGCCCGCCAGGCGGAAAGCGGCCAGAGACCGAATTATCCCAAAGACGTTATGGGATAGAACGGTCGTGACCTTGCCTAGGGAAGGATCGGGACGCAATAGAGTCAGCTGTGAGCCAGCGCCAGTGATGATGAGCTGCTCTTTGGTGCCTGCGAACTGACCCAGGACCGCCTGAACGACATTATTCGGCGGCTGGACCGTCAGCGAGTACAGGAACATGTTCGAAGTAGTCGCCATGGTCCTATCTGGGCGCAGTCCAGCCTGCGCGGCTCCAAGAGGCTTGAATTGCCGAGTTGAAGCGCAGGTTCGCGTAGAGGTGCTCTGGCTGAAGCTTGGAAATCGTTGCGAGTGGGACAGGCTACAAAACTTTGGTTTTGGTGGCCCGGGTGGGTGGAGGAACTATTAATGCGGCGCAATTGGGTGGATCGACAGCTCAAGTGCTTTCAAATTATCTGCCCACCTCTGTCTGGTAAGCTCACCCAAAGTGCTTCACCCACCAGTTCCAGCCATTTGACGCCTGCGAACTGGTGATATAATGGAGCCGATATTCCGCAGAGCGGCTTCGAGCCTTTGCGGTCGCTGTACTGCGTCGCTTCGCAGACAGACTGTTATAGGGCGAGTTGGGCAGCTGGCGATACGGCCTGTTGGAGCCATTGCATCGATGAGCACGAAGCCGACCACGCCGAGCAATTCAGCTTCCAGGACCTTCACAACAACCGCGGAATCAAAGTCAGAGGCAGCAGCTCCGGAGAAGGATACTCCCACTCCGAGTCTGAGGCTTAGCCAAGATGATCTTTTTCATCCCTTTTCGTCATCTCCGGTCCCTGAGTTCCGCCGCCGTGCAGCTTTCATGAGACAACATGCGCAATGCCCTCACCCTGACCATAAACCGACGAAGCTTCCGACCGTGACACCAAAGCCTGATAACTCCGGGGAGCCGACTGGGACCATGCCTCCTGCCCATGTT